AAGAAAATAAATAAGAGTATTCCTTGTTGGTGCCTGTTGTGTCTGAATTGGAAAACATTTGACCAATTTTACTTTTAACGCAGGGTGCCATAGATATATTATCTTTCGACAACCGAAACGAACAAGAATATAATGTATTGTATTTTATCTTTTTCAGGGAATCACGGTGGTTTTAGAATGCATGGCGCTGGATTACTGACTTGAAAATCATGATTCAAGAAAGTTCCTCTTGATTTTCAATGGTGCAGGACGTATCTCTAGTGCCTATCAAGAAAAATCATTTAGTTGTTCGGATTGAACGAAAAAAAAACCACGTGTATACCATTGATAGTATGTTAAACATCCCATGGCAGTTGGAAATTGAAATGAGAGTAATCTGTAGTGCCGATGCCCAGGACAAAATTTCCCCCTTGGAACAATGCTTGGCGTATTACCATCTTCATTAGTCCGGTTAATACAGACACAGAAGACGTTAAACCCCAACTCATTTGTATCATCTTTTTTCCGGAATTAAATCTTCATACCTGAATAGATAGAAATTAATGGGTAGCAATATACATTTCAACAAAACTTATTATATCATATGATTTTATTTTGGGAAATAGGTCAATATTTCAGTTTTATTTTTATTAAAATATGAGAAACAAACTCCTATGTATTGACATTTAAAGAAATATTGTTATACCACTATGCAAAGCGTTACACTGGATTTATACTTTCTAACAATATTGCGACTGAAATGCCAATAAAGCGTATTTTTATAAAGATTTAAACATAAGTGTTTGGTGGCAGTTGTCGTCTTTTCACAATACTTGTTCAAATCAATTTGTTTAAATATTGTATTGCTGGAAATAAATGGTGTCATGCAGAAATTGACGCCTATTCTCTACGAGAAATGACTAAGGGTCTATATAAGATAGATATGGTTATGAGGTAACATGTGTTAGGATACTTTGTCCATAACATTGATCGACTAGCCACCTTTTGTTACTTGAACACGTGTCTTTTTACGAAACTATGACCAACATTACAAACAATTAACCTAATTTGCATAATGATTCATGCTTACAGTCACGTGAAAGCCACTGCCCCAATCATATTCCGCCATATATTATGTATGTGATTTGTATCATATTTGTTATCATCCGTTCTATTAGTGTTGTATGTAAATTATTATGGGGACAATAGGTAACCCTGACACACTGCCATTGTCCATTAATACTTTCTTTTATGCAATCATTTTAGGTCCATAGACAATAATGAATACAGTTAAATATATTTATTCTATATAAATAAAGCATCAATAAAATTATCAATGATTGCATTTGGTCGAATGATCTTTTTGAGTCCGTGATCTTATAATAAGAATACATTTAACTCCAGTTGAGGTGATCTTTAATTCCATTTCTCAGTGAAAAACAAATACCCGCATTCTGACTGGGTGCCGACGACAGTGGCAGCTTGTTCTGTGATTAACTAATTTGAATTGTTGTTTTGTGGACACGTTACCTGGGATATTTTTAGATTAACATACGCTTTTTTAATCTTGAGAGTAATGATGATGAAATGTCACACATTTTCGATTGTTACTTTTGAGGAGTAAGCTAACTTATCTGCCTTCTCGTATACACTTTTCGTTATCTTTTCGGCTAAATAAAGATAAAGAAAACCACACTAGCATGGGGGCATGGACTAAAAGACAAAATATGCAACAGTGTTGATTACTCCAATCAATCGCGTGTCAAAAATGTCGAAATTGCTCATTTTGAGTTGTTTCTGTCCCTGCTACATATAAACAAATATGAGACTAGGTTAAAGGAATTGACGAAACATGTATATGAGATTCCCTCTTTACGTGTACGAATTTCTGTTGAGGTTATGCGACTCTTTGCATTTAACCAAACTCTGCCATTCTGGAAAGGATTGTTTTAGTTAGTCCTTTAGGATTCTCCTGTCTGATTCTTAATAGCACAACCGCGTTATAGAAGAAGAAGGCGTGGGACGTGTTTAAAGATAATAGACAACGCACAAGGACTACGTAAAATACGTAGGCATACTCCGGGCCATTCACAAAACCTGGCTGAGGTAGGATTCAGAACCGACAACATCGTAATAACAAATAAGGGTAACAATTTAACATTTCCAAATAAAACAGAAATGGTATCAGTTGGTCTTTCTAAATATCTTTATGAAAATATATGTAGAATATAAAAAGACAATACAAATTTGTTAGTGAAAGCAGGTGATCTAGAAAGACCAACCATTCCTTGCCCTGTGCATTACACAGATCACTTCTTATAGCTAACAATTGTTTCATTTCGAACGACCGTCTTGTATCAGTAACGCAAAGTAAGATGGGGATCAAGGTGGCTCAGTGAGTAAGAAGCTGGTTGACTAGAAGGTATCAGGGTTGCTTAGCATCTTCCCCTTGCCAGTTGTTTAAGACGGAGAGTCTGGCACAGAACATCATCTACTCGTTAGGATGTGCCGAGACACTGAGATCCTGTGTATACGTAAAAGAACAGCCTGGAGGTCGGGTGTTCGATCCCCGCATTGACCGAGAAAGTTCATCCAGATTTTCCGGCGTGGTTCTCTCTTGTCAGTGATACAGGACGAAGGGGCTGACAAAAACGGATGTCTAGTCGTTCGGATGGGACGAAAAACCGAGGTCCCGTGTACACATTGGAGTGCACGTAAAATACCTCTTGATAGTTGGAATTCGATATAAGAGTAGGCCGTAGCGCCGCTGTCCGGGCAAAATTTCCCTCATAGCACACTGTATGGCGTATGTCCGTCTTCATTAGCCCAGTTCGGAGCAAAACAGTAGGACGTTAAACCCCATTTCAATTCACGTAAAAGAACCCTTTACAAAGAGTAGACGGAAAGGCCACTGTTTGGGAAATTTCCTTGATAGCACATTGTATGGCGTATGCCCATCTTCCTTAGCCCATTTGGTGCAGAAAAGTAGGACGTTAAAACCCTATTTCGTTTCATTTACACCTGAAAATATTGCTTATGAATTAACTGCAATTTTGAACTCTGCAGTACTGACAAACTAAAAATATGACGCCAAAAAGTGTGTCATGTCCTGTGTCAATAATTTTGCTTATTCATTAATAAATCTGGGTGAAGTAGAGAATTTCAGGCATGGTTATTGAAGAACCATTAACGTATACACGTTAAAAATCTACAACACAAAGGAATAATTTGATTGATTACGTCATATTAAAATCGACCATGACGAAAATATGGAATAAATTACCGCTTTCTTTAAATGGCGACGTATGTGACTTGAATCGAATATTTAAATTTCACAAATTAAACATTCATTCTTTGACACGGTCTATTTTCAATATTTTAATTTTTTATTTACCTAAACAATAAATTTCAAATTAAAAGAAACTCAAATTTAAATATTTTCAATGAAAAGAGCATCTGTATTTTAAATAGAGTGCCTAACATTAAATTTTCCAAATCAATAGCCACAATGTTTTGGAGGGTGGGGATGAGAAAAATATACTTTAAGGAAAATTTAAGATCATTGTATAACGATTAACTCTCTCCATTCAATTGTGATTAAAGTCTATAAAATCAATCAGTTTTGATTCATGGCATTCGTCTGGCAGGCGTTAACTAGATTTATTGCTCCTTGGAAACTCAAGACTAGCTTGCTTCTTCTTTTTTTTTGCATTGATGTAACATTAGCGTGGGATGTTGTGTTTATACCTATCAAATGAATCACCTATGTCTATGATAGATCCTATCCCATTGTGCAGGCAATCTTCAACAATTTTGATATTGAAAGTCAGTTTAATTTGTCAATAACTATTAGCATAAATAAAATACTCTTTGGATTTGCAGACAGCCTTCAACAATTTTCATTTGAAAATTAGTTCTATTTTCAATAATTATTAACATAAATACAAGAATTGTAGAATTTGCAGATATGTTTTCACCTTTGACCTCTTTTCTGCAGAGGTCAGGTTGTGTGATACATTTCGAGCATCTGCGGTTCGTTAAATGTCCAGTTCAGGTCTAGACATAACATCTATTGGCTAAAATTAACAGAGATTGAAACTAACTGGACTGAAATCCCTACGCACATAGATTCTAATCTCTTATTTCTTTAACAGGTTTTGTGGTTAAGAGGGCTAAAGTCACCCAGTTAAGTGTTATTATACGTGGAAAAACGGTTAACAAACTCTTCGCTTCACTTCAAACGAGATCCAAACAATAACAAAGCTGGTCTCTTGTTTTCACCTATTCACGCTTCTTCAGTTCTAATCCAATCTTCTTGTCAAAAACCCACTTCTTGCTTTCGCGCTTCGTTTCATTTACACAACGGATTACGCAATTGGTCAACGACATGGAAGTAGGTATCATGTGACTCAAAGCAGTCACCGCATTGGTCCGTGAAATTATTGTGTAATCTCACGTGTTTAACCGAGATCATGTACTAAGTTCAGTGGTGTAAAACATCGGAGATGCAATGGGGTTTGAGGGCTCGTCAACACAATTATGTGTGTGAGACTAACTTGGTTTGTCTATGGTCACGTGTATAATCGGCGAAAGAAGAATTTGGTCCGAACAGTGGCGTTCCGCCAAATTTGTGTCAAATTCTAACTGTCGAGGGTTCTTTTACGTGCACGCCAAAGTGTACATCGATAGACCTCGTATATTCGTTTCATCCGAACTACTCGGCAACACGTTAAGTGACCAATCTGAGAAGTGGAAACCAGGCCTGAAAATCCCAAGGTTCCATGGCCGATCTATTACCACGGCTCTGTCCCGCCCCTTAACAGGCAGATCTCATGCTTTTTATTTATAAAAATGCATACATGATGTCGTTTTATTTTGGGGAATTATTGTTTTTGTTTACGTCACAGCGGTTGATTTTCAGAACTAGATGGCTATGCTTTTTGCCGGGAGATAGAAACGGGGTTCTTTTTACATTGGATAGTATATTTATGTAAAGGAATAAAAAATAACAAAAATATTAATATCTATGCGTGCAATCTTTGAGTAGCAGGAAAGAACCAATGAAAATACAATACAATAACAGCAAAAATACGTCGAGATCGGCAGTTGATAACGATAAACGGAATTACAAAACTCAATGTTTGTTTTAATGGAAACTTTGGGGCTTTTTTAAAAGCATATTTAGATATCTAAAAAAAATATTTGTGACCAAAGATGCTTATTTGCTGTTAGGAAAAATTCGCTTTCCCTTCATTCAAACTACAAAAGATGTTGTCAGTCCCATTTTAGGTCTTTCAAAACATTTTTCATTCCATCAATTCAATTCTCCCCCTCGTCCTGGTTACTAAACGACACACATGTTCCTTTCTCAATGGCCCCTAAATCCCCCTTTGTCGTCCATTGTTCCCTATCGGGTCGAATCCCGCCCCGGAATTTGAAGCAGAAAAACCCGACAGAATATTGTTTGTAAGGCTGATTTAGTCGTATACAGCTGTTCATTTCAGCTGTCTCTGGTCTGAACCATCATCTTGTAATCCTGCATGGTTTATTCAAAAATACGGAGTCTGTCTAGTCGTCAACACGGAACGAAAAATGTCTTCTCTCTGCCTGAAAAATAGAAAGGAAAAACATCTGCATGATTTGTAGCAGAAGGAAATAGCTTTTGAGAGAATTTCGTGCTTGCAATAACTGAAGCTGCGATTAGAAATCTTGTTGAAAGGATTGTAGACATTTTGTTTTCATCACAAACGTTTTCTGACATCTCGCGACCTCGAAGGTCAGTTTTCTTTACGCTAACGTCAAACCGTGAAATCTGAAGCGAAACGAAAACCAAGCAATGTGTACAGCGAGATACAGTGACTCATCTGCATGGATAAACATGGCTAAACAAATTTACTTGTTTACTCGAAAAACAACCAATAACAGAAACTCTGATATGCAAGCAAATTGTCAAATTTTGTACAAATAAAAACTAATCAAGAACGAAAATAGGGTGAAAATACTAGGTAATTTCTACTGACAAAACAAGATAATAGCAACGACTAACGAATTAACATTTTCTTTTTTGTGGTATTCACATCTGCACAACAAGAGGCCAGCGATAGAAAACTCATTCGTCAATCATATCACAGAGCTTTAACGAACAAACAGCGATCGCCTTACAATATTACTCTTCTTGTATGTTAGTGTCAGTCGGCAAGCTTCGGCTATCAGTATCGTTTAAATATTGACTGGCGAGTGATGCGACTTGCTAATTTTCTACATCTCTCCGAATTGAGTTTGCAAATATTGAGATTAAACTGTTTCTTTAGCTAATGAGTTTGAATGAAAGACGTCATATTGTTATCAAGAAGGCAAATCGACCAATGGACGAAGAGCAGTTGGCAGAAATATGCCATAACACGGAATCAAATTCAATTTAAGTAGCGGTGTGAACTCGGCACGCTATTTTTAACAGTGTCAGTATCAGGGGTGTACCACGCTGCGATCACTTCTCGAGTTTCGTCTTCGATACGTTAACTTTAAGAGTTAGGGAAGCTTTGAGACATTAGTGTGAGAAAATATGGCTAATTTATACAATTCACATCTGGATTGTAAACATTAAATTTTACTTTAAATAAATCTACATTTTGTTTATTTTAGAAAAAAACATTTTAAACAAAATTATCAGATGTTATGGTATTAAATTTGGTTCATTTTATTCTCTGATCCCTTTGCTAACTTTTTGTAATTTTTAATATTTTTTTACGTTTATTTTCTATATAAATTATTGTTGATTTGTATTTCTTAAATAAAATAAACATTAAATGTTATCGGTTCTTTTCATACATATGGAAGTTGTACCTTTTTCCTAAAAAAAAGCTAAGGTGCATCTTAAATTAATGTGATTAATATTTATAATCATATTTTTCTCTTCTTAGTTCTATTACCTTTACAAAATTTGGATCGATTTACGAAAAGCATACCAAAAAAAGCCAAGCGGTACCATAAATAACAGATAATTGATAAAACATGCATTAACATATTGTTGGTACGGCAAAGAATAAATAAATAAAAAGCTTTAAATATTTCAATTGAGGCGGAAATGTGTTTTCTGAGTTGGAGGATATCCAGTTTTCTAGGCCAGGGCTATTGGAGCATGACTCCTTGCACGTGTAACGCAGGGGGCGAACAACTGGTGTTCAGAAAGAAGGCGTTACTCCTAAAACGTGAAAATATTATGTTGGAGAAATTAGAATTCACCCAATTGATATGCCTGTCACCTATTGTCGAAAACGTCTAATTTGCATGAGCATTAAAAGAGAAGAAATTTATAAGCTAATTTCTTTAGATTGTGTATTCAATTCTAACAACGAAAGTCAAATAAATCCGGCGCGTTTTCAAAAACTCAACGAATTTAAATCATTAAATTAAGACATTATTTATTTTTTCCATTTAAATTTGAAAACTTCTAAGGTTGTCACATTTTACATTATAATATTGAAAGCTGTGGAAGCAATTATGTTTTTTAAAGAATAAAAAAGGAAAATAATAAATGTGCATTTCTTTGAATTCCAAATAATTCACACAAAAGATTTGAAACGCCATTTATGTAATAATAAAACTGGGTCATTAATTATAGTTAAAGTCCAGGTCATTGGCATATTATTCTAAAACTCATCACCTGAAGTCACTTGCATAAAAAAAAGTTTCAAAAATGCATTTACCATATTCATAGTAGGAATTCTAACTTAAAACAAATAATCTGTATTAACATTAACTTATTTGTAATTTTCTTATCGTTTTTAGACTGTTATGAAAATGGAATTTTTATTTTCGAAAAAGAATTGTTAATGTTTGTTGTCATAGAAATGCATATATTTGTTGTCATAGAAATGCTTTTTATTGCAATTTATAATATTGTTGTAATATGTTTTCAAAAATAAATAGCATTTATAGAAACGAGGAGAAAATCAATTAAAACATATCTGCACAAAATTGTGACGAAAGCATTAGTGATGTTAGTTCAGAAGTTGTATTGATCTTCTCTTTAAAACAAATCGGGGAAATTTTATTGAGAGATTCTCACTTAAATATTTTATTGACTATAAGATGGACATCCCCAAATCCTACCCAGGAGTGTCGTAGACGGAGAACGAAAGCTCGCGGCAAATGAAAGAGGAGATGTTGTAAATCTTAAAACTAATAGAAGGAAGAAGCGAGAGGGGATCCCCAGCTTACAGTAACGCCCCCTAGGGGCAAATAGTATTATACACAGTAATTCTTGTATTGACACTTTTACTGTGCATTTAACTGTTAGGATAGTGATCACCTATAGGTTGATGATAAACTACTGCTTATATAAGAACTTACAGTAAATAAAATAAATTACTCTGATTTATGACGATATTCATCAATACATAATCTTATAGATTTTATTGATAATATTTATTAATTTATTACTATTCAATTTTTTTCTTAGATCGATCACTAGGATTAGGTGATACAATAGTATAAATTCATTTCCCTAAAATGACAACTTTATTATATTCTTATGTAATTAATTTTCTTATAAAGAATACATATTTTAATCCGACTATTTGTCTTTATTACAAGTAAAAATTATCAACATCAATGCCAGGTGAAGTATGCATACAAAACATTATAGCCCCGATTAGACCGGATAATATAATTAATGGGGAGGGCGTGGAGATCTATGTTATATTGTCTTTTTATGATTTTGGGAATATATGTAGCAATAGAATTCATATATGTATGTTATTTACACCTTTTTAAACATGACCCAGGGGGCGTTATATGTCTATATCAGCTTTTCATTATAAAATAATGGCGATAATTCGCCCATAATTTATGGCATGATAATTTAGATGTGTATCTCACGAGGTCCTGCATGGGTTAAGTCCACTACCTGTAGTTTACCTAACATAAATAATTTACCTATTCAAACCCCAGAGATAAGAACCCATTTTGCGAAAACATTAAATCGGCTCCTTTCGCTCACTGGCAAACAGACGACATTTCAAGCATTGAGTGACGTGATCTCGCGAGATTTGATCTTTGGTCCCGTGATTTGAGGCTGATTACCGCTGATTTATTGCCGCCAATTATGTTCTCCTCTTGCCTTTAATACATGGCTACTCACACACTTTAACCAGATGCACCTCACTAAATGCAATTATCTGTTAATGTCCGTTTTATTTTTATGGTCAAACAAAAGCCTAATAAACAAACATGGCGGGTGTGGATACATTTATAGTAAATAGAAGATCATTGGTGATGATGGAAGGTGTGCCTGATGGAATGGTCATTACCTGCATGGAATATGTATTAATTTATCATCCCATTTATCCGATGAAGGACAAGTCTGTAGTTTCAATAAACAACATCTTTTGTAAATGCATTATGTATTGTTCTGTGTTTATCAAGATTTCAATACTACTTTAGTAAATAGTTTATGTATATCGCAGTATTTATCTAAATTTGAAATCTAATTTATGTACTGTTCTGTGTCCATTACTATTTGGTAAATACATTGTGTATTATGCAGTATTATCAAGAGTTCAAAACTACTTTAGGATTAAAAGTTGGTGCGAAATTCTGGTATCTTTATTAATGTCTTCACTTGCAAATAACACTGTGATTAGCAGAAGGGCTAAAAGAAAGTGCGAAGTGCCTTCTTTCTGAATATTAGGCAGATATTAAAGATAGTTTAAAACTTATAGCTTAAGACATAAATATAAACAATTAGCTTTCTTCAACTCTAAGTTCTTTAATAGGAATAAGACACCCAACCAGCTTAACATTCAATCTTAAATTCAAATATCAAAAGTGTTAGACACAGGTTTCAAAAAGTTAGAATATTCCTTTCCAAACATATTGTTATAAACATCACAATTTGAAACAAGTTCTCCTATCCCATATCCTACAGGAATGAAATATATTCCGGATACGATAGCTTACTATCAATTTTCAAAAACAAATTACCACTTAATTTAATCGTTGCATATTAATGAACGCGGATAATACCATTATTATCTATTGAATTATGGCAAAAAATGAATAGTTTGTATAAACGGGTGGCAATGTTTACACATTCCAAATGATTTCATCCAAATAACGAACCGGATATAAAAACAGTTATAATCCAACAAAAATATTATTTCAGCAAAACAAAAGAGAAATAATCATTACTATTCTACAACAGCTACAAGAAATTAAGACTATAAAACAATAATGGTTTTATGATAGAACTGGTTCACACCTCGGTAATAATTATGCGGCCATATTGGCAAAAGATGTTACAACATTAAGCATAGTGATTTCCTTAATCAACAAACACAGAGGGTGTGGAGGTGCCAAGATGGTACCCATGGGACACGTCTTTTGAAGAGATGCTATACAATCCATAATTTTATTACAATTTAACAAAACATTTTGATTGTGTGATCATATACGAGGTACTTTTAATTAGAAACCCAAATGTCTAAAGATTTTTAAAAAATGTCATCTTTTGTTCTTGGAAATTTTATGTTGAATGTCCATTTTCCACTATGGTTGATGTTTTTGTCTTCAAAGATTGTGAATTCCGCTAATTTATAGCTTAGTAGAGAAAGATTTTAAAAAAATGTATGAAAAAATTATTTTAGGCGCCGATGAAAACACTCTTATCTTTTGTTTTTTTGAAAATTTTCTTAAACCAAATTGCTGAATGTCCATTTCCCAATATCATTTACCTGTTCTTTCAAATATTGTGAATTCCGCTTAATCTAAAGCTTAGTAGAGAAAGATTCGTCGTTATGTCGAAAGAAAATGTCGACAGAGCTTATGTTATTTGTTGTAAACTCGATAGTAAATAAACTTACTGAATCTGAAAGTCGACAGTAAATAGAGAGAGAGGGGGGGGGGGGGGGGGTAACGTCCGCTCGACACAAACTGGGTCATTCCGCATTCCGGACTAAACATATGGTTCAATTTATTTCAATAATTCGCTTGCGCGTAGGGGTATTTAGCAGTGGTAGGAAACCTGGAAGGGGGGGGGGGACCCACGAGGTTGGATAGGCAAGCCTACTCCTTGTCATGTACAACCGTGGAATCGGAATCACGCCAGTGGACTCAATGATAGATTTGTAAACATGGCAGTAAATATAGATTCTGAATGTCCATTTTCCACCATGTCTGACATTTTCCTTCAAATATGGGAATTCGGATTAATTTAAGATTATTGATATGTCCAAAGAAAGACCAATAGAGCTTATGTTATTAAGAGTAAACTCGACAGTAAATAAAGTTTCTGGATCTGAAACTCGACAGAAAACACGGTTTCTAATCTAATTTGTCAACTAGACAGTATATAAAATTTCTAATTCTAATCTGTAAATTCACCAACAGAGTTTCTAAATCTGATTTGAAAACTAACAGTAAATAAAGTTTCTAGACCTGATTTTGACAACTCGAAATTAAGTATATGTTCTGAATCTGAATCAGAAAGAAACATACATGCAGGCAGGAAATAATACATTCATATTATAAATCAATGAAGCTATAAGATTAAATTTTAATTAAATTTGGACAGCTGAATTTTAGCTTCAAGATGGCGCATTGGTGAAAAAAGCTAATTGTTCAATTTCATGGAATTTTGATAAAGAATCGTAATAAATGCCCAACAGTTCACAGTGTTAAATACATTTTGTATTGTTTAAACACCGAAGGCGACTGTGTGATTTGTTGGCGATAAATATGGGCATACATGTGGAGAAAAATATTATCTACTTTAGATAATTCAATAACGCATTTTGTAAATGTTCAGTATATAATGATTTAATGAAATAATTAAATCTAAGGTGTTGCACAAAGATGAATATCGCGAGTGTTATGCAAAAATTGTTGACAAATTAAAACATTTCGCAGCGATATCACGATATGATTGATCGCGGAGATTATAGTCAAATAATAGACGAATATTCATACAGTAATCATTGAATAAAAATTCTTTGTTTGTGGTGTTTTTTTTTTTTGTACAAATGTAAGAACGATAAGCATCAAAATATTGTATAATTGAACTCCAAATTTAAAAATGAATTATACGGTTCGTATTCATCTAAACGACACCCGCATGCATTTTCACAATTATATAGATTAGTGACAATTTGTAAAAAAACATGTGTTACGTCACCAAACAAAATGGAAGATGGGCAGGGGGTATATAGATTTAAAATGAGGGATAGGAAATATGGGATCTATTATTGCATGCTTCATCATAAAAGTTTGACAATTCTTTCAGTATCACGTGTTATATCTCATGGATTCGCTATCTTTCAAAGATCAGGAACATCATTTTTTTTGTGCTTTTAAACTATTAAATTTGTATATGACAAAGAAGCTTCAAAACATATAAGGAGAAATTAAATCTGGTGCCAGATGGGGTAGTAGAGAATCAGAAAAAATGGCTTTAGATAACTGTGGACTGGACTCTCGTTCAGATTATTCCAGGTTCGAGTCCCGTCGTGGGTCGAGAAGAATCTTGAAATTTTTCAAGTCCGATTACCCATTCTCGGATCTGACAAGTAAAGTATTGCCTAGTTGGGTGGGATGGGCCAAAAACAGGTCCATCAGAATACGTAAAAGAACCTTTGACAGTCTCCCAAGCATTGTATATGTGACCAATGAAAGAATGTGTGCTAGTCTCAAAATTACCGAAGTACTGTTAAACCCCACTCCTTCCCCTACCAACCACCAAACTACTGTATTAACCTTTTATGTGCCAAAATCTAGACGGGGCATGGAGTGATTCACGCAAAAATATGACAACATATATTTCAACTAATCATTTTAAAAAAAAGGATTCTCTGCTTTTTATCAATGCTAAACATTAATAATTGAAGATCCTAATGACTCTGTAAAACAAGAACAAACTGTACGCATTTGTACCTCATTATAAATTTGTAAAAACCTCATGCTAGAAGTAACTTTTCTTTTTCGCAAATACTACTTGTCTGCCACTTGTGCGTTTTGTCTTGAAGACCAAATAGCAGAGAATCGGTCTCTCAGAGGTTGTTCAGCTTATTTTACAGGACCAAAATACCATTATGAAGACATTTGTCAAATTAAGATACCGTCTTTTCACTATAAATACTCCACAAATTCTTCAGAAAAAATTATTTTAAGAAACTATTATTAGAAATTTGCCGTTCATCCCAAAAATAACAGCGATATTCCTACGTTGTTGATACCTTGCGCAAATGATACGAATGGAAATGGAAAATCAAGATATAAAGGCAGCCCAAGAAGTTCCCACAGCCAGCCATTATTATATTTCTCACAAGCCACCATTTTTTTAATATTTAGGTCCAATATTTGTAATAATGAGATGTGTACGTTTTCTCTAAGGTTTATTAGTACTTACTAGTGAAGTACCGGTCTGAAGTGTGTATTTTTTACCCTAGGCGTATGTAAGTCTAACCAGATTGATATATTTTTCTTTGCAATCTGCCTACAAAAGAGCCACTTGATCCCGATTAAAAGGTCGGGTCGGGTTAAAGTATACATTTAGACAATGATTGAATAAAAAGGCGAATGTGTTTATCCCAGCCTTTAGGGATGGATAACAACAATCAATTTGTCGTATTGTCCGTGCTCAATCGACCGAACAATGGACGATGGCGATCAAGTGGTCAGTCGGAAAAACGGCGCGTGGATGAAAGGAACGTGGGGCTAAAAAATTAACACCTTGACCGTTGAATCCTATTACATTGCATAAAGGGGGTTGGACGAGTATTGGAAAAACAAATTGAATCTTTGAATGTGTTTCACCCGTGAACGTCTTTGATGTCTATTGGGCGTCATCTGTTACAAGTCCTAGCGCCAACCAACACCAGTCACAATAAGTCGGCTGCTTCTTTGAAGCTTGATCGATTCAACGAAACTCGAGGAGTCTTTCTTAACCTGAAACAAATTTTTTATCCAGAAAAATAACCACGAAAAATTGGCAAGCCACAGTGGCAATTGTTTAAAGCCAACCAAATAGCTACCTCTCCAAACGTTAACGTTGTTATTTCGAATACCACTAATCATTTATCAGTTAACTCTTTCGTGAAAACTTTTGAACAACGAACAATCCTAAAAGGCAACCATGCCTGACGTAAAGAGAAAGCAAAAAAAAAAATCGGCCATACAAATCTCTCTCCCTCTCTCTCGTACCCCCCCCCTCTCCCTCTCTCTCTCCCTCTCTGATCTATGTTCATTAATAATTGTTGCTTTCAGTCTGAACGTTCCATATTTTGTTGTTATCATTTGCGTAATTTATGCAGCTAAAATAATTATCGCGAAGGAAACTTACTCACCGGCGTCCATTACTACTGTATCATAATGGTAGTAGGCTAATCACGGCGTGCCTAAAATATTCAACAATCTAAAATATTCCCAAGATTCTTCAGCGTTCATCCAATTTCCTCTTAACATTCTTCTTATCTTAAAGTCAATTCCTGAGTTAGAATCGGAATCTAGAATAGTACGTCTGCCGTGTTAACTCACGTCTGGTCTTGCTAAAAATTCAGAGCGCGAGTGTTAGATATTAGGCCTAAATGAGAATATGATCATTTGTGGAGTCGGACAGCCACTAACGACATTTTTTTATTAGCGCCTGAAAAGATCCGAGGTCGTCTGATTTAAATGATGTTATTGGAGAGTTGACAGGGAATGAAATATAACGAAATTATTGCTAGTAATTGTCAGGCGTTCAAGCTAATGGAGCGTGGTTGTTGCTAAAAGTTTATGGACTCCACGAGCAATAGCAGACGACAGTTTTACCTTCTTATAATGTGAGTAGATTTAAAAAGCTAAAGAGTGGAATGGAAAGCTTTTGTTACCAATAATTATTGTTATGTATGTAAATTTGTGTAGCCGACGGTAATACTACACCCGCGATAACTCGGTGTTAGATCAAAGCCGTTGAAATGTACTGCCCCTTTCGTCTGTAAACTGTCACAACCTGCCATCAATCAATTCTGATTGGCGGAGATTGATCACGTGGTTTCACGCGGTGACTGAATATTGGCGATCGGTAGCTGTTGAGGACTAGCTTTTATTTGTATGTCTCGTCATGATAGCGTATCGGGGATATACTTTTACCAACCCATACCGAGTGAATATTTTCTAAATTCGAGTTCTGGCTGCTCGTCAGTTTTTAAGCTTAAAATCACAGAGAAGAACGTCTTGAAGTGGTGACTCGTCAAGTTTCTGTTTAAAAACGACTCATCAGTTAATGAAAATGAACGAGGAGGGTGAATGTGGTTATTTAATGGGACAGGGTGACGGCATGGGAGGATTTATGACCGGACTGCCCCACGTGAATGCTCCCCATCATCAATCATCGCTTCTTGCCGATAGTCGACCCTACTGTCATGGCTATAACACTTTACATCCCTTACAGGATTCGTATCCATCCCTCACTCCTTCTCCTGATGGATCGGAAGGGGGATTACTGTCCAATAAACTCCAGGAGTACCCGTGGATGAAGGAGAAGAAGATTTCCAGAAAAGGGGGACATTTACTCGAACCTGAACCTGGTAAGTGTTTCATCAACGTCACATCTTTTTATTTAGAATTTCTTTGTTGTTACTCTTCACTCTCGAGATATGCTTGAGATTTGTAAACTTGTTTTTTTTTTAAAGAAAGCCTATGCGCTTCACGAATCATTAAATTCACATAAATCACGTTGACATGTTTAGTCATTCTATCTATCTATACGCATTAAAAATTTATTTTAATTCGGGGAACTCGTGGCTTAAGAAAGCAAAATTCCCAACGATTTAAGAAAATATTTCGTTTCATGGATGTAGAGGGCTAATCCATAAACTGCGCCACGGATATCCAACACATGTCTTTGTGGCCCACCGATATTTGAATATCACGTATAGCTTTAAGCTGTTAAATTTTATGATTATATCATATTCTAAGGCCAAGTCAAATTAAAAATTTATGGGATATTACGTGACGGTGTAAAATGCTATATGTAATAGTTGATATAATATGTACAATAATGAATTATTGCTAATTATATATAAATCATTATGCACTGCATATTAAATTGCCCGGAGCAGAAGGTTCCGTGGGAGCCGCTAGAGATAGTTTATTTACTGATCTAAGATTGATGGATTGATTGATCTGACATGCTGAAAGCCACACCATGGTTACTTTAAATACATCTTTAACACTTCAATAGAAAATATTCATAATCCTTTGTAAAGTTTTAACTTGATGTGTGTATGACTTGATTGCAATAATGTGTTCCTAACTCTGGAAATTTCATTTAAATTACAAATTTTGAGTTTCGATCATTTCTGAAAAATAATTTCGTATAGGACTGATTATTGTGAATAAATGTTGATTGACAACGATGAAAATTTTTAAAAATTTATGTTGGTCTAAACAATATTTTATTTCCAGTACAACATGAGTATATATATTACTGATATATTATATTTAGAAACAAGCCGAAGATTATATAAATTCATCACCCTGTTAACACATTGACTTTTATAATAAAATAAAAGATCAGAAAAGCGTGTCAATTTACATCATTGTATTAAAACAAATTTACACAGGATATGATACATTTCACTAACCATTTCATACGAGTAGTCAATTTCACACTATCTGTAATTAACCATCACACCGATTATAAATAGGATGACAGAAGATGATCGCCAAGAAAAATGTTTTATGTCGCTTGTCTCTGTCATAGAGAGTGACACGACTTTATTATTGAATGAAAGGGGTTGTGGAGCTGTAATCATACACGTGCGTGGTGCATGTAATAGCTAGTTTGGGTCCTGTCTTGTATCTACCACATGCACCATCTACTTGTACCATATCCAGTGTACAGCCATATCAGCCCAGCTTTAAAATGAATTAAAATATATAATTTGAGAAGAAAGGCTTTAAAAAAATGTAAAAATATTGTTAGAACTTTTCACGATATCGGATCAAGGGATTGCATTATTTTATTCAAATATTTTTTTTTTTCAAAATGATTAAAAATCTGCATGGATCTCTACATAATATATATTTCGTTTCAAAATCCATTAATTACTTCAAAATGCATTGCTTATTATTTGAATTTTTGTAATTTAATTCCTGTTATCATAATTTTAGTATTTATTTTTCTATGATAAATAATTCTGTTTTTAAATTACTAAAATATTAATATGTAGTCTATGTTATTATTTATTTTTTTAATTTTTGGTAATTATTTAATTCAAACATTTGATATAAGAAATACAGAAGAAAGATAAACAAGCAAATAAATAACCCCAAATCACCAAGAAAATATAGTATAAATTCTAAATGCCAATCCAGCAATCTGGACCTTTAATAGAAAGCTCTATTTGTTCACCTCTAAGCATCAATTTAGTATTTGCCGTTAAAGAATTAATTTTTACTGCTTCGTCCATCCTAATCCCCTCTGGACCTCCATTTAAAGGATTTTCTGGACAATTCAATGTACTCTGGGTCAGTTTTGACGGATCAAAACTAATTACTGTCGGCTCAGTAGTCAAATTGTGAAACTATAATTGTCAGAAAGCTGTTTACTTTCAGTCGTCATTTTCTTAGACTGATAGACAAGTTGACATATATTCTGCAAGGGCTCTGTATTCTGTGTAATAAATATAGGCTATATAGACATATTTGTTTATTTCTTGTATCCCTTATTTACACAGATTTAATCACCCAAGCGCGCTACTGGAAGTTAACTATACAGAACTTCTGCGTTTTGAAATGCAATGCTAAAAGATAAAAATCTGATAGTTTAGATTTGAACTCATGCTTCTTACACTTTTCATCAAATTAAGTGCTTATTAATTGATTCATTTATTTGTAAATCTATTCAATAATTTATTCATTTATAGTAATTATTTATTGATTGATCAGTCTATTTATTTATTTATTTATTTATATGTTTTTCGAAAGACGGTTCAACATATTACTTTTTCATTTAATACAATATTATATTTTCATTTATTTATGGTCGTTCGTTATTGGGGCTTGACGTCCTTTTCCAACTAGGAGGATATCACACACAATTTTTTTTTATACTTTATTCATGTATAAATGCCCGTGCATTTATTTTATGATATTGATTAATTAATATTCATGTTATTATTTTATCTACAACAACCACATACCAAGAACTAATAACCATTGTTGATAGTTTTAGTTTATTTCACCAGAATAACGCGCCATTCTAAATTACGATATGGATCTTTATTTCAAGTAATAAAGTATAAAAGAATAACTCCATAAAATGAATTACGTCAAAGAGATGTTAGCAGGAAAAACTGGAGTTAATCGCTAGATTTAACTGGCTGAGTGCCTGATTACATCGTAATACGCTTGTAGAGTTTAATCACGTGAAAAATTCAGAAAATGATAAACAAAAGATCCCTTAAAGCATAGAAACACGCACACGTTTACTTAATTTAGTTTCAAATTATTTAATATTCTAATTTGTTTAATCGAAATACATGTATGTTTTGGAGTTAAATATAATTGAATAAGCATTTAATTAAAAAAAAATGTTTGAAAACATTTGCAAATGAATGATTTTAACTCACGATCCATTAGCTTACTTCATCTGCAATGTTAAAATATGAGTTAGATATTCGAATTTATTTAAATAAATACATGCATGTTTGCTTTAAATATAATTGAATTAACATTGAATTTCATGAAAATATTAGCAAATAAGATGGGTTTATGTATGTAACCTATGACTCGATTACTTGTTCTGCTATGTTAAAACAGAATTTCTCGTTTTGTATACTAGTATATTACGTACATGTTTATGGCTTAGATACGTAAAGATCGTATATCATACATACATGGTCTAGATTTCAGAAACCGCTATTTACAAACATGTGGTATAGATATGTACATTTTGAAGCCAGGAAAACTAATTATATCTCTCTTGCTGAAATGTATCCATATGTAATATGTGTCAATGTTGTGAAAACCGGAAAATAAGCCTATCGTGAAATAAGCATCTCAGTAATGAGTTTGTCATATGTTTCAAAGTGGAAACTAAAATACCTCCGCGCCTCTTTAAACTCGTAAAACACTAGAACTATTAGAAGCTTGGTTTCCAGTTTTAAGATACTTTAAGAGAATTTGTACCAAACGAGGTTAAAGAAACACATTTTGATTAAAATAAACATGATTCCTAGTTCTAAAAGGCTTGTTCATTAACATTTTTTGGAAATTAACGACAGAGATACCGAAGACTTACTGTGTTCTCTGATCAAGAATCTACACATAATGCAAATACCTTTGTATTTCTCACATTTATTTCGTATATTTTTGGATAATGTAATATCGCCAAACATATAAACGACTTCTGTTAGTAATGTCGATGAAAGAAATTTGCAAATTAGGACTGCAATGGCATATGGTTTAATGTATTGACAGCTATTGAGGCAAACATAAGGGCAAATGTTATTGGGAGATGCTAATTTTAGGTCGGTTGGGGAGGTTCGGGAATGTCCGGAGTACAAAATGGTCGCTTTATATAAATGAGTGTTTTGAGTCTAACAAGTCTAACCCTAACCCTTTTTAGAGGGGTAAAAGGTAAATTGGATCCAAGAACCTCCCCAACCGACCTACAATTAGCATCTCCCAATGTTATTTGTATGGTTATGTGTGCAATTCAAGGCAGGAGAACTTTGCTCGGACAGCAGTTTTTCCCGGCTATTCTGCTTCGATGTCTGTCAATGGTTCTTTTACGTGCACCCAAATCGAGGCAAATTTCAATGTATCTTTTTTAGAAGAGAGGTTTAACAAAATAGTAGGCCAACTGAGTGTGGAAATTACGGCGCTATAGCAAACATTTCTCGAACAGAAATTCCTATTCAATATTCCTATTCCATGCAAACAAAATGCCCTTTTGTATGAGAGTCGGTATACGAGGAACATGAAATGAAATGGGGTTTAACGTCCTGGTGTTCTACTCCGAACTTGGCTAATGAAGACGGCACAAAATTGGCATTACCTGCGTGACAACCTTTTCTGTGCAGTTTTTAAACAAAGCCCATAATCATTTTGACATAAGTTTAGTGTGCATGTACTTGTTTCAAGTTCATCTGGTAAATACATAATTGATCAGCAGTAAATATTCGCTTGGCCGCAACTATCACTGAAAGGGATGGCGTCGGGGCAAGTTAATTAGCTCTCAATATTAACTATTTTTTCTTCTGCAAATTAAATTCTAAAACAATTTTCTAAATTATTAAGAAAAAAAAATATCTGAATAAAAAAATATATTTATTTAGTGTAAATGGGTACATAAAATAGTACTCGAAGGCGTAAAATGAATAAAAGGCACTAATTCTGCCTTGATCAGTTTTTGTTACTACGTCCTATGTAAACAACGCAGGTGCTATAAAGGCCATGTGATGTGACGTCACTCGTAGGCCTTTACTGCAAGTGAACTTAAAGGCCACTGTGAAACAGATTGGGTAAATTCATGTACTGTTTTTGACCTGTTTTGTCAGCAGCTTAAAGGTTATAGACA